TTCTTTACAAGTCCATCTACGTTTCATTAAAAGCTTTAAAATAAAAACGTATAAAGTACCCCTCCCACACTTGAGCTTACTCCAGCTTCAAAACAAACACGTGACTTGACCTTGAACAAGTCTGAAGATGATAAATAGAAACAGACTCTTGACAGAACTTTTAATTTTTACAGTGGATCACAAAATGGTTTAAAATCCTATTATCCTTCCAGCTTTGAAACATGGCTACTTTCTGGGAGGTTACAACGAGATGTGAACCAAAACACATTAAAACAGCATTCAAATCACTAACCATCAGGTGTGGAAGTAACGAATTACAAATACGCACGTTAAAGTAATTAAGTAGATTTTTTTTTGGGGGGGGGGGGGTACTTGTACTTTTATGAGTATTTCTTTCAAGTGTGTAATTTTACTCATACTTAAGTACAATTTAGATCATGTAATCTACTCCTGCTGCCTTTAGATCAAAATGACACTTAGGTCGTTTTCACACCAGATAGTCCGGTAGACTCGGTTCGGGACCAATATTCATGACCTTTTGTTTACATTTGAGCTGGTGCGTTTGCATTCACACTGCACTGTGCAGTCGAGTCAACCTGTTGAACCAACCTATTCCCCCGCTCGCCTGTGGGGGCGCTGCACCAAGAACTACTGAAAGAAACGACACAAAAACCTCTGAAGACACGTCTTCTTCTGTAAATAAAAATAAAAAGAAGTGGCATCAAGTTTTAGCAGTTTTAGGAGTTATATTTTGTCATTTTTCAAAAATGGACTTAGCATGAGCAGAAGATGAGACAGAAGACCATGGAGAATATTGTTTTTCACACAAGGCAGCTGACGGCTCCATATAAGGTCAGAGAAATGCGTGTTTGTTTACCCTGCGGAGCGGGGCCTGGTCTGTTTGCATTCACACTGCACTCGAACTGCGCTGGAGTTCGTTTCTACCGGACCGAGACCTAGGTTTTAGCCCGGGCCAGAGTTCGCCTTTTTGTTCCGTGACAGAGTTCGATGGTGCGTTCACACCTCCCTAAACGAACCGGACTTTCTAGGAAAACGAGCTAGAGTTCGATTAAAGCGGACTAAACAGAGCTAGTGTGAATGCACCCTTAAGGTCTCAGCTTTAAAACTGAGACCTCAGGAGTCATTTTTACCCAAGAAAAACAGGAGGGTTAAAAGCCTGAATGTACTGAAAGATAGAGAAAATATAAAATTGGACACCGTTATCTTCATTTGCACCATAAAATAAAATAAAAAAACTACTGTTTATCTAATGAAAAGAAGGAATACTAATAGTGCAATGTTTCTCTCATAGAGTACAATATACATATTGAGAAGCTAAGACCCAGTTTTTGGTCAATCAACTGTCTGTGATGTAAATTTCATCTGTTGTACTCATCTACAAGGTTCCACAAAGTCCTTTATCACAATGGTCAGTGTTTTGTGACCATGAAGACTTTGTCCATATCCAGATTCAATTTGTAATGTAGGAAGAGGGCAAAAAGATAGGGCTATTTGTCCCTTCCAATAGAATTTTTTTCAGGGGCACAGTTCAAGAAAGGGGCATAAACGTAGTAGACTGAGACCACCAAGGCACTCCACAGAACACCACAGGAAGTCAACAAAGTCCATGCTCAATAATCCAGGTATACAATCTAACAATTTTCAGTCAGGTCATCTGGACAGTTTTTTTTTTTCTGAAACGTGTCACCTTCCATTCGGAAGGCTTCATCAGTCAAAGAAACGCACAAGACAAAACTGATTCTTCCCCCAAACAGCTAACTCCAAAGTGGAACAAACCAGTTATGTTGGTGC